CCCCCGTTCCCTGGCCCAGATCCCTAGGTGCCCAGCTCATCTCACCCTGTCCCAGCTCCAGACAAGTGGGGGTGCCCCAGCCTTGCAGCCTTTCCTGCCCACAGGCCTGGTGTTGCCTCAATCCCACCCCGGCATCCTGCTGGCGGTGATCGCCTGGCAGCTCTGCACTGGTAGCCCCCTCCACCAACCGTGTGGCCCTGCGTGCCCGCCGTCCCTGCAGCTTAGAACAGCTCCCGGTGGGGCAGGCACGCGAGGGCAGAGGCTCTGCTCCCTAGCAAAGCATGCAGGACACGGACAGCAGCTCCAAAGCAGAGACGTGGCCTCAGGGGCCCTGAGAGTATCCCTCTGCCCAGTCTGGGGTCTGCAGGGCTGTGGCCGGCGCCCGTCCACCTTCAGCAGCCACGCATGCGATGCGCACACCCGCACCCGGGCTCCCACAGCTTGCCATCACTACTAGCCCTCCACCAGAACCGATGAGGACATGAAGTTGGCCACCTCCATGGCACCACGCTCCTCCCAGGCTGTTTCCAAACAGCTGGTGCTGAGCGTTGCTCAGTGGGCGGAGGCTGCCCTCGCTGGGGGCCTGGGGACAAGGACGGGCTGTCCCATCCCCGACAACAGGGAGGACAGACCCCCCAGCGCCATCCCAGGCACCTGCGTTCTTATGTTGCAAATCGCTGCAAGACCCAAGATTGTTCTTTCAAGTTCTAGAATTAGCAATTATTTAGAGCAACTAGCTAGTGGTATTTCTAGGAAAACTGTTACTTATGATAAAATGCTGAATTTTTAATGTCAAGATGTGTTTTCCCACATAAATTCATTTGAGACATCCCAGTCCTGCCTAAATGGAATATAAGAGGAACTTGCACTCCTGGCCACGCAAAGGTGGGGGGTTTTTAGGCTTTTATATGAGGATTATGTTCTGCCAATCAACGCTCACATTTTCAGATTTTGAATTTAACAAAGATAGCGTCACAAAGCCTGGAATGAAGTTAGTGTCCGGCGCAAGTAAGCACTCCACTTGTAGCGACTTAGTCACAGAAGTGACCGGGCCTTCAGCTTCAGCACCGCCGTTTGCATAGCGCCCGAGTGTCCTGTGGTGCAGATTTCTAAATAAAATGGTTTCTACCAAGACAGCTTCCGGGTGGCTCATTTTCTGTGTCTACAAAGTGAGCCCTGCTTGTGGGTCAGGGTGACTCCCTCATGGTCAGATGAAGACAATTTGGAGGAGGCTCGAGGAGGTGAGAAGTGCTCCGGCCGCAGCAGTGTCCTGCGACGGCGCCGAGAAGGGCCACGACTGCCAACTCCTTTCTAATTCGGCCCCGCCACAACCGAAACCCCATAACTCTGGCCTGTGAACAAGCAGACCCACTCGGCTGCCACAGGAAACACCTGCCTCTGGAGAAGACTGCAAACCACCCAAAAAGCTGACCCACCGAGGCCTCACCACACCGCAACCCCAGGGCTGCTCTGCCACAAACCCTGCCCGTCCCACCTGGCCATCTGCTCCCGCTGGCAGGCCCCACGCTGCGCGCCAGCCACCCAGACGGACCCGGGGGGCAGGAGAGTGCTCGCTGCTCCCCGGGGCAGGACCTCGCCAGGGCAAGGCTGGGGTGCTGCCTGGGGCTTGGTCACCACTGGGAAGGGTCTTGATGGGAGAGTTTAAGATTGTGGACGCCGCAAAGGAAGGGGTGGAAGGCCAGGAATTCAAGGAGTTTTGGGGTAAACTGTTGACGTTTATGTGGAAGAGTCAGCGGGGAGGTTCCTGCAGCGGATGGTCAAGTCCTCTGCCTGGCAGGACAGTTCTGGGAGTCAAGTTGTGTAAGGAAGACAAGGACACAGCGAAGTGGTGCCCCTGTGGACAGCAGCTGCCATTGTTAGGTGGTTCTGGTGTCCCAGTCCTGGGGGGGCAGTAAGACCCTGATCTCTTCCCTCTTGAGACACAAGTAGGCGCCATGAAGACAGTGTCCCTTCACTGCACTGGCCTAATCAACAGGTTTTCTTTCAGAGAAGTTACAGCCAATGACCCCTTCAGGCCCCCATGAGCCATGCTTCCCAGGTGCCCACACATGCAGCCCCCCTCTGATGCTGAATGGAGCCTGGCCCAGCATACTCAAGCTTGGGGGAGCCCCAGCACATATGGGTTAACCAGCCCGAGCCCAGCATGCTGAGAGCAAGCCCAAGGTACCACTTGGAGATGGCCTTCGCAGCCCAAACAGCCAGGCCATCGACCAGGAAATAGTGCCCAGGCCGGCCGGGGAGAGGCCACCCACACCAGCCACAGTCACAAGGGAACGCAGAGGCGCCCACCCCCATCCTCACCCCAGCCCCAACCACAGAATCATGGCCTGATCAAATAGCCCTCACCCTGCCTGCATGGTTTGTGATGCCACAGCGAAGACTCAAGTGCTGGTTGTGCACTGGGACTCGGATCAGCCCCCTCGCTGAGACCTGGGTTCCTGTCCGTGAGCAGGACTCTGTCGGCAAGCCCGCTGGGTTCACTCCACAGACGGGTTTGCATTGTGCCCTGCTGCTGTTTAAAGCCAGCTGTGGAGACAGTGGGAATTCTCATGGCCGTGCTGGGCCTCGAGCTGCCACCTCCCCCCGGCCCCACCTCTTCAGTGGCCCCTCTCACCCCTCAGGGGCTGACCGAAGGAACCGTGGAAAATGATCTTTTGAAGGGAATCTGTTTGGCCATGGAAGAGCTGCGCGTGAAGAATGCACGCCAGCTGGTGAACCAGCTTCTCACAGGGATTCAGGTCAGCAATTCTCAGTGACTTTCTGTGCACTACAGGGCTGGACAACAAATAAGTTGTAGAGAAGGGAGCCAGGCCTCCCCATCAGAGAAAGAAGTTACAGAAGAGCCGGGGCGGGGGGTGAGAAAGACCCCGCAGTGCTGGGGACGGACGTGAATACAGGTGTGCACGGGTGTGGGTTAGTGTGCCCACGGGGCCCTGCTGGCTCGCCCCCTGCAGGGCTGGCACCAGGCTCCTCAGTGGCGGCACCAGCGACGTCTGGTGGGTGATTCTCTGTTGTGGGCACTGCAGGGTGTTTTGCAGCTTCTCTGGTTTCTACCCTCTAGAGGCCACAACACCCCCCCAAGTTGTGACAACCAACAGTGTCTCCAGACATCACCAAATATCCCCTAGGGGACAAAATCACCCCCCAAGAACCAGTGGCCTAGAAGCAGTGACACCCCAGTAGCAGTGGGTGCACCCTGTACCCAGATCTTGGTGTCCAGATACCATTCTCCTAGAAAAGGAACCACAGGTATTTTGGAGAAATAGCTGAATGGCTGACTTCAGGACTGGGTGGGGAAAGTGCTAGGAGAGCCAGAAGCAGCTTATAGTGCCAGAAAGCAAGCAAGTGCTTAAAAGGGGCAAGAGCAAAGGGACAGAGAACAGGAGAAGAGCTGGGAAGGACTCCCAATGCCCGAGCTGGGCATCACGACCCAGCAGTAAGACAAACGTCCACGAGTCCACACGGACAGGAATGGACGACTGGATAAACAAGTAAACAAGGAGAGTCCCACACAACACACGTAGGTGCCCCTGAAGGAGCAGCCTGGTTACCCGCCATGTGTGGAGAGGACTTGGGGACAGGCCCAGTGCCGGGGAGGGCGGGGAGGAGGGTGACCTCACAGTGGAGAGACAACAGGCGCCATCTTAACCGGAGGTCAGGTGAGCATCACGGTGCCAAGTCCTGCCGACGTCACACACCCAACATGATGTGGTAAGACGGCCACGTCACCTCCGTGGTCTTCTTCCCAGAAACCCATAACCCCAGGCTAATCACAAGAAGACGTCAGACAAACTCAAACTGAGAGACCTTCCACCAAATACCTGACCAGTCTCCCCAGCGTGTCAAGGCCGTGGAACCAGGCTGAGAAACCGCCCCGGCCCACAGGAGACCGAGGAGACGGGATGACTACATGCAGTGCTCACGGGACCCTGGACGGGATCCGGGACGGAGAAGGGACATGTGGAAAACCCGAGAGGACCCAGATAAAGTCTGTGGGTCAGTCGGCAGTGCTGTACGGATGTTCATTTCTCAGCTTTGACAAAGGCGCCATGGTCGTGTAAGACGTTCATCTGGGGAAGCACAAGGACACTGCGCTGTCCGCAACCTGGCTGCAAATCTAACTACCCCAAACTCAGAAGTTTTATGGAACTGTCGTAGCTAGCATACAGAAATACAGTTAATTTTTGTTTATTGTTTATTCAATGACCTTGCTAAATTCATTTTTTAATTCTAATAATGTGCTTGTAGATTATTTTCCATGTGAAAATCATGTCATCTGCAAATAATTACTATTTTACTTCTTCCTTTCCTATCTGTATGTGTCTTACTCCGTTTTCTTGTCTTATTGCTCTGGCTAGGACTTCTATAATGACCTTGAATAGAAGGGTGATGGTGGACCTCCG